TCTGAAACTGTGGTCTGTTTACCGAAAGTCACCAAAGCCTGAAATGTGAGGTTCAGAAGGAATCCTGAACGGCTCTTTTTAAACAGTGACATCGGTCTCCATCTTAGAGAAACCAGCCCAGGTGTCTAAAAGCGGGAATGCGAGGGGAAAGCTGCATCATTCCGGATCGCGGCTCGAAAATGCACAGCATCGCATCAGGGCAAACACAAAACCATCTTTGCTTGAGAGAAGTCAGCGAACCAAGGCCCAAACAAGCAGCCCCCGGCTCCCTAAGGCATGTGTTTCCAACAGACCTTTCTGACAGCCGCCCCTCCACCCCCCGCTCCACTGTCATTCGCCGGAAGCCCCCAAAATGCTGAATCTTCACGGTGAACCCAACAAGGTGGAGCTGGATGTCCAGGTCTCCCCGGGATGGGAAGATGGAACGGTCCCCACTGGGCAGGTCTGGGAGGCAAGCACGCTCAAGCGGCAGGATGTTGCCCCCCCGCCCCGCCCCGTCAACGTGCAGCTACCTAGGGCTGGCTTTTTTTTTTTTTTTTGAGGTCTTCTGCTTTGAAAAAAATATACAGAGGGTCTAATTTCAGATCAGCCAAATGCATCCCCCAATACAGTCCCCCTGTGACTTCCATTCCTGGGACGCTGGTCCCCCAGCAGCAACCCTGCAGAAGGAGGCTGCCACGGGACTCCTGGAGCTGAGGGGGCCACTCACCTGCCTTCCTGGCGTCTGCTCGTTAAAAAGGACACAGTCTAGTTTACTAGGGTTCACCAGACGCTCTACGGATCTGCCGCACCAGCTCTCTCATTAGGGAGTGTCACTGTTGGACGTCAGAAGCAATTGGTGAATGAGATGCGCCCCATGAGGGTCGAGTTTGGAGGCAGGGAGTCCATTAGTCTATTAGGGCGTTTTCAGCTCAGTGAGAGAGGCTGAATTATTCACGAGCGTCTCTTCCCCTAAAAGCCCGGGAAATGCAGTTCCGCGGTGCAGCCTGGCAAGGCCTGATTCTGGCACGCAGGGCTGGGAGGGGGGCGCTGACTGGGGTCTGGCCCTTCCTGTGGGCACACTCCCTCACCAGCCCTCCACTGCTCCCCGAGCGCCAGAGACATGGGCCACAGGTGGGGAGGGGCCGGCCGTGCTTTGGTTATTCGAGGCCAGGACCCAGGGCTTGCAGCTCTGCCTACCACGTTCTGTGTCTGCAGTCCGGGGCCGGGGATCCACGGAGGATATGACCACCACCCACAGTGAAGGGGTTGGGGTCTGGCAAGACCTACCCTCAGCAATGCAGACGGATGTCCCTCCTCCCTTCTACTGGGACGTGACCCAGATTGGTATATCCTATAGTGTCAGTACCTATAATTGGCTGGAAGGTTCTGGAAGTCTGCTATTGCAACGCCACACTACCACTCCCTCCAGGCGGGGCTGCAGGGACCCTTCCTCACAGCACACATTCTGACCCAGCTTTGGAAGATGCTTTGAGGCTGAACTCAGGGCTGAAGCTATGCTGAGACCCCATTCCAGGGTCACAACCTCAGGGGCACTCCTTGTCATCCTAGGATCCCAAGGAAGTCTCAGCATGACTCTGTCTTCCAGCAGGAGGGATTCCGGATGGAAGCTTAGTGGATTCTCCCATGACAAACATGCAAACAGTGGACGCTACCAGGGTCGGGAGCCGCTACCCAGACCCTCGGTAGAAAGCAAGCAAAATGGGATGTGGGAAGCAGAGCCTAAGGAACCGGCAGCAAATCGTTACCAGGAAAGACCCCAGTGATGGAACTGGGACGGTTGCTGTCAAAGGCACAAGCCCACCATGTCACTGGCCTCTATGTCACTGCTGGGGGGTGGCCTAAGCCTGACATACTCTGACACCCCGTCTCCTTTTCCCGGGCTCTGCACCCCTCTCAACTCCGCATCCCTCTCAGCACCAGCCGTCAGTAACCTGGAGGACAGGGCTCCTGACTTCCTGTTCTCCTGCCCTGCCCCCTTCACTCCTCTTCCTGTGGCTCCTGGGGCTCAGCCCTTCTCCGTCGTCGTTCCTGAGCTCCCCGCATCCAGCCTTTCCACCTGCTGTCTTATTCCCTCCCCCAGCAGAGCTCTTACCGCTGTCCTGCTCAAACACCATGGACGGCTCCCCAGTGCCCACCGAATGTAGCCCAAGCTCCTTTGCTTGGCACTCAAGGACCTTCCCCACCTGACCTCCACCTTCCTCTACAGTCTGGCCTCCTGTCACTGTCCATCCCGCCCCACCCCCCACCTCCTGTCCTTGGCACCTCTCCAAGCTGTGGCTCAGGCATCTACTGGAATGTTCCTCCTGGGCTCTACGCTGAAGACTGCCCAGCCTCCAGGGCCCCCTCAAAGCCCTTATGCTGTCTCCTCCACGAAGCCTTCCCTGACTCACAGCGGGCGGTGCTCACTCCTTCCTCGGAATGCCAACGGCTGTCTGGACTTCTCCCACAACAAGTTCTGCCTTCCAGATATTATTAGTTATTCGGGTTCCGGGGTAGACTGCGTTATGGTTCCAGGGCCTTTACCCCTCTCTGCATCACCTGACTATTGTTCTCCTAACGGGGGCAGGGCTATATTTTCCTGCCTTTCGACATCTGGTGTGGTCATGGGACTTACTTTGGCCAGAAGCATGAACAGGAGCGCCAGTGGGCCGCTTCTAACTGTGGGCCTTCAGATGCATGACGTGCATCTGTTCTTCCTCTGGCGCTTTTGCCTGGAACAGCCTCTGGCTGAAAAGGATGGGAGGGAGCACCTGGGTGGCTCCGTCCTTAAGCATCTGCCTAGGGTCCAGGGTCCTGGGATGGAGCCTGCATCGGGCTCCCTGCTCCGCGGGAAGCCTGCTTCTCCCTCTCCCACTCCCCCTGCTTGTGTTCCCTCTCTCGCTGTGTCTCTCTCTGTCAAATAAATAAATAAAATCTTTGAAAAAAAAAAAAAGCAAAGGACAGGAGGATGAACACCTGGGCCCCACCTGCAGCTCAGGCCAAACCCAGCAGAGCCCAGCCTGGATGAACTGACACAGACACATAAACGAGAAATACACGCTTCTTGTCGGAGGGCACTGAGTTTGGAGGTTGTTTGTCACATGGCATTCTCTGGAGCAGCTGACGGGTACCGGGTCTTGCCTCCCTACTGGTCTGTGAGCTGCTTGAGGACAGAACGCACACCTTGAACACCTCTGCCCCGTGAGGGGAGGGACCGCACGCCGACTGACCTAACCCTCTGAGGGCTGTGTGGGTGCCCAGATGACAAGCACGCCCTCCTGGGAGCGGTACCCAGGATATTAAACAAAGATCCCACCTCATTAGAGGTCATCGTCGGAGACCCCGCAAGAGATACCTGAGTGTCTATTAGAAGAAACCACGCTGGAGACGCACAGGGCGGGACAGTCGGAGTCTGTGGGCACCAGGGACGCGGTGCTGAGAGGCCCAGATGGAGGTCTGCACATCTGGGGTGCGGTTCTCCAACAGAGTTTGCCTCGGGGCAGGACAGAGGGTCCCCCGGGACTGCACAGCAGGTTGGATCTGTGGGGCCCTGAGGGCCAGCAAGGGGTGTGGGACACTCTTTCGCTTCAGCTCTGTGATACCCCGCAATCTCCTGGGCACCCGCCTCGGCGGGGCCCTTCCAGCTGGCGTCTGGGCCGCGGTTCTGCCACCAACCGTGTCCTTTCCTCCGGGGTCTCTGAGGACTCAGTTCAGGGGCATGTTTGGTCTCACTGGTCAAATCCTCCTGGGACGAATGTCTCACCCACATTCTGACATACGATACCATCATACGTGCGTGATGGTACACGCGTCATCCCATAAAAGCATTTGCAAGCCCAAGTTCAGCTCTAGCTATCTCAGGCAAAATCTTATCCAGCTGAAATCCCAGTCATGTCTTCAGGGCTCTCTGGAAGGAGTGCGACCCCGTGGGAGGCACTGAAGGGGCGGCAAAATCAGCCCGAGGACCCAGGCCCACGGTCCTGCTCAGAGGTGCCGGGGCTGCAGGAAGGAAAAACCATGTGGGTTTTGCAGGGCTGCCGACCCCAGAACCAAGACCCCAGACTCCCTGTGCTTGGGCGATGACCAGCCCCTGGCTCTGCACTGGCAGGTGGGCATAGCCCTGGGGAGCTGGTCTAGACAGAGACCTTCCAGGCCTAAATGCCAAGGCACATGCCACACACCAGGGCCCTGCTCCCAAGATCCACACCGAGTTCCTACGGTCCCGAGGCTGATGGGGCTGACCCGTGGCTTCCTTAACCCCGACACTTTCCTGACAGGAGGAAAACGTCGAAGTAAATTCCTGGAGTTACAGACTACCTGAGAAGCACGCGTCTTTGTGGGGCACCTCCCCACGCCACAGGTAAGCTGCCCAAAGGAGGAAGGGACTCACCCCGGAGGACTTTGCTGGCTGACCTGCCTTGGCCTGGGCTGCAAGGCAGGGCCAGTCGATGCCATGTCCCTGTGGGGTGCAGCCTTGCACCGAAGAACATGGTGTGCCGATTCACCAACAGGGAGATGCTCCAGAAAACGCCAGCAGGTCCAGCCCTGACCCAGGTCACACTGCAGCCCCATGCCCCCGAGAACGTATTGGCCTTTGATTACCCCTTTGATTCCAAATCAGTTCAAACCCAAAGAGAAGGGGAGAATGGTTGTGTTTGCCCCACCTCGTTTACTGGGATCACACAAGAAGCACAAACCTGTGGACGATAGACCTGCGGCATCTGCAGCCAGACAAGCGTGAGATTTTAAGGTAGATCCGGTGCGAGCTAAGCAGGTGTCACAAGTCCGTTTGTTCTAATCAAAGCAAATTCTAGAGATGAGCACACACAATGCACCTGACTTCACAGTGTTCATGAGGACATTACATAATGCTGTGTGGGAGGGCACTGGGAGAGAACCCCAGATTTTCACCAGCTGGGGATTTTCACCGGCACCGCCCAGCTGGATGGGCGTGGCCCTCCCCGCCCGTTCCCCTGCCTTCAGCCTGTGGGGCTTGGGGGAAACGGAGGGCTCGTTACCTGTAAAACTGCAGCTGTCTTTTGGGGCTCCCATACCGAGTACTGCGGACAGCGATGGAAGACAGAGAAAAAGGAGAGAGAGACAGTCCACAATGGGCATTAGCCATGGGGAGGTGCAGGCCGGGAAACACCAGTGGCACCCCACAGCCCGGCCCCACCCCACTCTGCCCGGGGCTGCCGGGTGGATGCTAGCCCAGGCACCAAGTGCTCGGTGGCAGCGCCACCCAGTGGCACATGGAGGCAGAAGCCCGGTCTGTCCGGCCGGACGCCGGGGGTCCTCCGGTGCCTGGCCTCATTCCCACAAGGGGCAGGGAAGCAAAGACAAGAGGTAAACCTCAGAGTGACAGTCTGTTTGGGTTTTAACGAAGTACGCTTTAGAATGACTGGACAAAACCCTCAAACCAAGAAGTGGCCCGTTACCCCACATGCTGGCGAGTCTGCGTGGGACCACGGGGTCATTTTTAGGACTTTGATCAAGGAGGGACACCCCCCTTTCCCTGTGGGTTCTATGGACACTTGCTCTGGGTCAGGCCCTAACAATTACTGGGAAAGGCCCAATGAATCAAGGGCTGATGGGCCCTTGGGGTTCCCCCGCCCCGGGTCCATCTTTCGTGATAGCCACGGCCACCTGGGTCCTGGGCTCCGTGGGTGGGGCAGCAACTGTCACCCGGTCGACGCCTCCTCCCGATCTCCCCATGGTTCAGCCCGGGCTGCTTTCCACATGGAAAGACCCAGAGCTGGATTTGGAACTGGCCTCCAGAGAAGGAAGGCAAGGGTGCCTGGTGAGCCGCTAGCCGCCCCCACCCCCACCCCCGCCTCCCGGTGCAAGGCTCTGAGCCTCCCTCAAAGGGGGTATGCGAGCTGGGGTGTATAAGAAAGACGCAGAAACTGGGAAGGGCCTGCTACCTCCAGCGGAATCCTTCAGAAGAGTCAGGGACCAGTCTAATCCTGGTTCTACTCCGCAGGAAAATCTTGGGTTTTAAAAGCTTCCATTCCTTCCCTTGGAGAAAGCGCTAGCCTACATGAAACTCAGAGCCCTGTGGGCCTCCCTTGGTCCTTCCCTCTGGATCCAGGGCTGGTGACTGGCCTCGGGGACCCCTTCTCAGAGGCAGGACTGAGCCTGGGAGTGGCCTGGCTGGGTTGGGGGGCAGGGGATCACCTGTAGATCATGCCGGGGGAGCCCGTCTGTCGCAGAGAGAGTCGAGCTGGGGAGCCTGTTGTCGATTCCGGATACATGGAGCCGGCCTTACTGGTCCTGACCTGCTCTCTTCTTCACGGAGGGAAGATTCTGGAGGAGAAGCAGAACAGAGAGGCAGTGGTTCAAAAGACCAGTTGGGTTTGCCCAGGAGGCTCTGTGATGGTGAAGGCCCAGTTTATTGGGCATCTGTACATCCCTCATCAGACAGACAGACTAACCCATGAGGGTTCAGACAAAGCTGATGGTTGGGGTCAATGGCTCTGTAACAGATTTCTACTCTCCCACCCCCATGCTTCCCAAGGTCCTTCCGCCTCCCCAGCTGCTTTCCTGAGGTTCTGGGAGCCCTTTTCTGGTGGTCCCAGGGGGCATCTGTGGACTTAGAATTTTGGACTGTCTTCACTGTCCCAGGAAGTGGCACCACCATCCCCCAGGTTCATCCTTGATGCTTCAGCTTCCCACCCTCTCCCAGCCCAGTGCTGGCTGGTGTCACTGTTCAGCTTTCAGGAAGGCAGCTGGTCAGATAACCCTGGCTCCTGGGACTCACGTCCTCCCCGTGGGTGTGACTTGCTTCTGCCCCACAGGTCATGGCACAGGTGACAAGATATCACGTCCATGATCAGGTGATGCAGACTGTGCCTTCTGTCTTGATAGCAGACTCTCCCTTGCTGGCTCTGAGAAGCAAGCTGCCATTGCTGGAGAGGGCCGTGTGGCCGGGAACAGAGGCCCTCAGTCTAACTGCCCACAGAGAAGTGAATCCTTCAAGCTGTGTGAACTTGGAATTCCGAGCGTCCTTCCCCATATGAGCCTTCAAATGAGACCACAGCCCTGGCCAAACCCCTTGGCTGCAGGCTTGTGAGGCCCTGAAGCAGCAGACATAGCAGACCCACAGAAACTGTATTTTAAGTCCCTAAGGTTGCAGTCATATTTTATGCAGCAATAGATAATGAATACGACAGACACATCCATCCATTCACTTTTCCCCATTACCCTCAAGCCGAGCTACCGCCATCTGTCACCTGAACCACCAGGTCAGCCTCCTGACTGTGCTCCCTGCTTCCACTCGGCAGCCAGGGGCATTTACTTCTATAGGAGATTAGGTCACACACCCCTTTCTTCTCTTTTCCGACAAGCCAAATGCACACCTTCCGCAGGGCCTTTGCACTTACAGTTCCTTTTGCCTGGAATGCCCTTCCGACAGACCTTCTCGTTGTTGGGCCTCCTTGGGGAGCCTGCCCCTGACTGTCACACTCTGGGATTCTCTCCAGGCACCCTGCCTGCTATCCCATGCAGTCAGCACCAGCGACCTTCTTGCTGTCTGTCCCTGAGTTGTGAGGTCTTGACTCTCTCCGGAGGGCAAGCTCCACCAGGACAGAAATTTTGCTGGTTTTGCCACTGTGCCTAGAACAGGGCTTGGAACTCAGCCAGGATTTAATACATGGCTCCCAAAAGAGTGATGGTCCCTGATCCAAAATTACCTTGTTCTGTGCCAATGGGCAAAGGGATGGTCTGGGCTCAAAATACAGCCCCGCTTGCCCCCACTGGGGCCTCTCTGCTGAATGCCCATCTGGAGGGCTTGTTCACCTCGCTCTTCCTCCCTCCAGGATGAGGACCTCCCGTCGGCAGGAAGCGGGCTTCCTCTGGATGCCCTCCACCCCCTGGCACAGGGCTTATATACGTAGTAAGGTTATGTCTCGCTCATAACTGAGCTCCCCTCTGAGTGAGGGGTGTGCGCATGTGTGTGAACATGCTGGGAAAATGGGGAGAGGAAATGCAAGCCAGAGTCACTACAGTGACAGCCTCATGGAAATGACAGAAATGATGGGGTCAGTGAAGGTCCCCAAAGTTTTATTCTTAAAAAAAACCTCATTCAGAAAGAAATTACAGAATGAAATAAAAGTGCACTTAAATCCTGAAAGAAAGCTGTGGATCCTTGGCTGATGTTGACTCCAATCTTCGGGCTCATCAGGTGATTCCTCATGAGCTGCAATGCCATAACCCAGGCTGACCTCTCCCAGAGCCCCTTGTGTGCATGGCCCTGTCCATCTGCACCTGGTAGAATGGCTCCAGGCAGACCCTGAGGCCTCTTGGTCACCTTTTCTTTCAAACGCTGGGGTTCCATCAGGGTCACTGTTCCCAGATAGACCAGCCTGACTTCCTCCCCCCCACCCGGCCCAGATCTATGCAAGAAAGAGGCACAGCACCTTTCCTGCGGAAAGAGTTTGGTTACACGGCTCTGGGGCATTGAGTCCCTGAAGCTTTGGGGTGGGAGGGCCTCTCCTTTGTGCCCATTAGGTGCTCCTAGAGTGTGCTCTGCCAGGTCACACAGGGCATGAAACCCAACCATCTCATGAAAGTCATTAATCTTTAGTCAGCGGGTGGTAGGTTCACGGGCGCCCAGAGTGTCAGCCGAGGCCCTACTGTGCACAGGTGCTGGTACAACACAGAGCCCTGCCCATGGGCAGGAAGGCACAGCTGAGGGCGCGCAGAGTGCCAGGCGCTGTGTCCACAGTGGTCCAGAGGTCATCGGGGAGGAAGGGTGGCCACGGCGGGGCAGGATGTCCTCACAGGGTCTTGTGGAAGGAGATGGGGGCCAAGCAGCCCAGAGCAGGCTGGGATGCCTGTGCCCTTAATCGGGGGATGTGGCCCCCCCCCAACTCTCTCCTCTCTGGCTTTCCCTGGGGCTAGCTACTGAGTGGTGGTGTCTCAATGCCCAGCTCAGGCACTCAGGTGTGTTTAACTTCCAGAATTCAAGAGTCACAAACTCAGTCTGAATTTGGGAGGGTGTAGGGACGTAGAGTCTCTGACTCCACAGATGTGGGGTGTGCCCAGGAATCTGCATTTCTAACTAGTCCCCCAGGGGATGCTCGTGTTCCTGGTCCGGGGACCACACTTTGAGGACTGCTGGTCCTGGAGCAGGAATGGCAGACTACGAACAACAGACCCAATCCAGCCTGCTGCCTGTTTCTCTAAATGAGGTGTTGCTGGAACAGCTGCATGCCCACTCGGGCATGAACTGTGCCTGCGTCTGTGCCACGCTGCGGCGTTGAACACACTGTCTGGCTTGCTGTGCTTCCTGTCCCTTTACAGCCAAAGGTGGCTGAGCCCGGTTGAAGACTGCTCTCCCCCACTCTCCAAGATGGTGCCTCTCAGCTCTCGGCTTTGCTGCTTCCATTTCACCGACGGAATAGAAGCAACCAGAGACCAGCTCCCCCCCCCCCCCCCACCAACATCAGCTCTTGGAACATCCTGCTTCCCCTGCTACTGTCACCTGGACGACCCGGCCACGGCCACGGCCATGGCCACAGCGCTCCGTCTGAGCACACACCCCACTCCAGCCCCACTCGAGAGCACCCCGACTCTTGTGCCGGCTCCTCCTTCTTTATGAGGCACTGCCCTCTGCAGACAGCCACTTATTACTTCTCTCGTCTTAGAAAACAGAAAGCACAGTCTCTTGGATCCACTTCCTTCTCCACAAACTGCCCCATTTCTCTCCTTCCATTCACAGGAAAATTCCTCACAAGAGTTGTCCTTTCTTGCCTGCAATGTTCCCTTCTGCCTTCCCCGCTCAGAGGAAGCTGCTCTTGCCAAGGTCACTGTGACCTTCCTGTTGCTAAGTCCGGTGGTGCCCACAGTTTGGGGGTGACGGCGGGGCTGTCCCCACCCTCGGGGCTCCTGGGACCCATGCTGTCCGGCTTGTCTTCCTGCCTTCCCGCTGCTTCTTCTCAGTCTCCTTGGCTGCCCCTGCTCACCTGACTTTGAACCTTTTTTCTTTTCCACTACACGAGGTTCCTCAGATTTCCACCTGTCTTCTGGCTCTGAACTGCGCCGCTAAGCCGGAACCCCTGTGGTCGTACCTCCAGGCCCCGTTGTTCCCCGGGGCCCCAGACTCATCTGTTCAGCTGCTCTATGGGCATCTCTCTGTCTTCTCTGGAGGGTGCAATGCCCTGTCTCACGCGTGGTGCTCAGGGCAGCTACAGGGACGGGGACAACTGGAGCTACAGGCTGCCAGTAGGGACACTAGGGAGGTGTCCCAGAGGAAGCCATTTGTCCCACTCCTCGCCTCTGCCTTGCCTGGACTCCTGAAGGTCAGGCTCCCTCTGAGCCAGCAGCCAACTCCCCAGCTCAGGCACTGGCCACGTTCTGGTGGCCCACTTCACGAGGGACAACCTCATTCCTCCTGGGGAGCTGCCACCTTTGCCAACTTCCAGGGGAGGGAGAGGGACTGGAGGCTTCCCATGCCCCCTGCCTTGCATTCTGCTGACCTGCCCAGAGCCCTGACCTCTGCAGCTGCCACAGTCCAGCCAGGAGAGACTGCGTGTGCCCGGTGGCCAATCCCGGAGAAGTTGACGTCCCAGCAGGATGCTGCCAATCCCAGGCACCACGGAGGGAGGGAGGCGGGCAGGCAGGGCTGCCCCTGTCCACAAAAGGGACGGCTCTGGACAAAGGCTTCAGAAACCACTTGAGAACCGGCCGGGCCCAGGAGGGACAGCTGGCTCAGGGTGCAGGCTGGGGGTCCACAGTCTGGGTCCCCTGTCCCCAGCACTTCCACTTGGTCTGTGTGTGACCCTGAGCAAGCCACCTGAGTCATCCTCAGAGAAACTGAAGCATGGAGCGCTCACAAATGCCCGCCCATACTTTCTCACGGGAACGGAGAGAAGGAAGACACGAAAACATTTTGCGCTCAGGAGGGAAGATGCTGGGTAAATCCTAGCTCTCCATCGTCGTGGGAAAGGCGGCTGGCAATGACGACAGGCCCCTCAGAGGCGGGGGCTCCATCTGTGGGCACTGCCTTTCTCCTCAGCTTACTATTCTGAAAACTTCCAAATAACATTAAAGTTGTGAAGAATCAGCACAGCAATGAACACCGTATGCTCTCATCCCATTCCCCGACTGTCTGTATTTTGTCTCGTTTGCACGCCTTCCCTCTGCCCTCTCCCTGATTTCTCCACTCACACTCACACGCTCACACCCACGCTCACATACAGTCGTTCACATACATGCTCTCCCCCACACACTTGCTCACACGCACTCATGCTGTCACATGCATGCACACACATGCTCACACACACACGTTCTTGCATGCACTCGCT